GCCTTTCTGCACTGTAGACTTTCCACACTCTGGAAAAGAAGCAAACAAACAAACACCCCCCCCCCCTCAAAACCCTGAAAAAAACAAAACAAAACCACCCAGGAGATGCATGAGTCCAATGGGAATGCAATGGTGATGCCGTCATCCTATATCTTGCGACAGCACAGGCCACATGGTTACAGCAGGGGAGGGGCAGCTCAGGCGACAGAAGATTATTTTCATAGTTGCTAAAACAGCATAAATTTATTTTTTAAAAAAATCCCAAACCAGGATAAGTAAAGAAAGGAAAAACAGTTTCGTCTCCAGGGCCCGGGACGTGGCGGCAGGCGCCGGCGGGGGGCGGTGCGCGCGCGGCCCTCCCCCAGACCCCCTCCTTTTGCCACGCGCCCCTCCTCCCCTCCCCTTCCCCTTCCCGCGCGGCGTTCCACGGCCTGCGAGCCGCTGAAGCGCTGCGGTCCGCCTGGACTACGCAGCGCACCTTGGGGTGTACGCCTACCTGCCAGGCACGACTTCCCGCTGCCTCCCCAGCCGCGCGGCGCCTCCTCCAGGACCCAGCACTCCGTGCCAACCCTGCGGCCGCTGCTGTCCCCGCCGGGACCGAGTGGGAAAATGATCCCTGAGGATTTAGAGAGGCAGATCAGTCTGGCTGAAGCTGAGGGTGCAGTGCCGTTCCTGGTCAGTGCCACATCTGGCACCACTGTGTTGGGAGCCTTTGACCCCCTGGATGCAATTGCCGATGTGTGCCAGCATCACGGACTGTGGTTACACGCGGATGGCTGACTCCGTGGCCTGGAACCCCCACAAGCTCCTCGCTGCAGGACTGCAGTGCTCTGCTCTTCTTCTCCAGGATACCTCAAACCTGCTCAAGCGCTGCCATGGATTCCAGGCCAGCTACCTCTTCCCGCAGGACAAGTTCTACGATGTGGCTCTGGACACGGGTAACAAGGTAGTGCAGTGTGGCCGCCTTGTAGACTGTCTGAAGCTGTGGCTCATGTGGAAAGTACAGGGTGGGCAAGGGCTGGAGCAGCGTATCCACCAGGCCTTTGCTCTTGCCCGGTAGGCAAGGAGGGTCCCAGGTCCCCTCCCAGGGTCTACCCTTCCTCCATTTCTGCCCTCAGGATTACTTTCCTCCCCTGTCTCTGTGGTTCTCTTCAGTTTATATGGCTGTCTTCCCCTCTCCACCTGCAATTTGTCACCCTCTGTTCCCAGGTACCTGGTGGAGGAAATAAAGAAGAGGGAAGGGTTTGAGTTGGTCATGGAGGTATGATCCCATGTTCTTTTGCATCCATCTATCCCAGCCTATCCCACGCAGCAAGCTCACATGGAGGAAGAATGACAGTGAAAGGGAAAATGGTCCTCCTTTCTCAGCTCATACCTTCCCCTTCCTTATTCCCCTCAGCCTGAGTTTGTCAACGTGTGCTTCTGGTTAGTGCCTTCCAGCTTGCGGGGAAGCAGGCCAGTCCACATTACAGCCAAAGGCTGTCTCAGGTAGGCTTTCTCTGGCTCTGGGTAGCCCTGCTAAGGGAACTGATGCAGCTGGTGCACTTCTGCCCCTGCTGGCCATTCCTGATATGGGCGGTCCCCCTATTGGTCTCTTGCTCCTGAGGGGCTAGGTAACTGGAAGATAACACAAGCTTGTCCTTTTTGTGGGGGGGCTGGGGGAGAAGGGGATAGGAATAAGATATGTTTGGGGGAAATAAGATGACAGAAAGGAGCATCACAGGAGAACCCAAAAAAGTTAGTGTGCAGCACACAGACCCCTGTGCTAGGGTCTGTGCTGGGAACTCAGGCCCAGGTCAGAGATATAAGGTAGAAATAACAGGAAGAGTCTTTTCAATGATGCCGGGGACAGAGAAACACAGAAAGGCCAATTTGATTTGCCTTCTAGAGGCAAGGAAGTATGTTCTGTCTGGTCCCTAAGAATGGGTTAGTACTAGGTGCTGCAGATGATCTGAAAGGACAAGAATCTTCTTGCCCTCATGAAGTTGTTATTGTGGAAAGCAAGAGTTACTGTTTGAAGCCAATATTTCAAGGTGGTTTTGTAAATTACATGCTAGATCACATGGCACAGATCAGATATTACAGGATCCAGGAGTGGTGGCACACACTTATAATTGGTGTCTCTGGAGGCTGAAGCAGGAGGATCACAAGTTTGAGGCCCGCCTCAGCAACTTAGCAAGACTCTGTCTCAAATTAAAAAATAAAAAGTACAAAAGGACTAGGATGTAGCTCAGTGGTAAAGTACCCTTGGGTAATCCCTGGGAAATAAAAAAAGGAACCAGGAAAGGGGAGAAGAAGACATTCAGGATGACTAAAGTTTGAAGGTAGACTGAAGCAGTGTTGAAAATCAGAAAAGTCAGGATTTAGCATAAGAGATTGTCCTACAGCTATCTTGTAGGTAGGAGAAATGAGGAATAAAGCAGAAGGTAGAGAAGGCCAACCAAGTTGGATGTGGTGGAAAAAGTAATGTGGGGCCAAGGTGAGGGTCTAAGCAGTGAAGGTAATTCCAGAAGATGGCTGGGTGGGAGGGAAAAACAGCTCTGAGAGCCGGGTAGTCCAGGTAGCTGGCCCATCTTCTCACCTGACCCCACGCTGCAGCTGGACTCTACCGCTCCCATAGGTAGCCCCTGTGCTCAAGGAGCGCATGGTAAAGGAAGGCTCCATGACGATCGGCTACCAGCCCCGTGGGACCCATGGCAACTTCTTCCGAATGGTGGTGGCTAACCCCACTCTGACCTTGCTGATATAGACTTCCTCTTCAACGAGCTGGAGTGGGTAGGCCAGGACCCGTGAGCCTTCTTCCTCTAGAGGCCTCAGTGCCACTCCTCACCCCACTGAGTCTCTCTGCCTTGTCTCCTGCGTTCTCAAAATAGCCTCTCTAGGAAACAAAGTAGGCTTAAGCTATTAGGAGAATGTTTAAATAACTATATCCATAGGATGCAAGGTTATTCTTTCATTAAAATTATATTTACAAAGAGTTTTTATTAATTGAGAAAAATAATATAATGTTATGTTGAAAAAGCTGGATATAGGACTATGTAGTAATGAGCAATGTTCAGAAATACATAGGAAAAGGCTGATGAATGAACTATGCCAGAGTTTGTTTTCCCTGAGATAATAGGCAATTTTAAAATTGACCCCTTTATACTTTTGTGCCTTCTCCTTTTACTATGTAATGAATATGCATTATGTAATAGGAACATAATAAAATTAAAATTTCAAGTATATTAAAAAAAAGAAAGGAAAAACAAATCTATACAGCATTTACAATAAATCTCTAGCCATCTGGGGGGTAAAATATGCATCTATGTATAGACTATGTGCAGATTAGAAAGCTATAAATATGGTTTAGAAGAGTCCTTTGATTAGAGTACAATGCTAATTACAACCCAAGATATAAGCTCCACACCTTTGTGGGCTAATTTCCCATAGAGGAAAATCTCATTTTTCCATATCTATAAAATGCACCTTTATCCCTATGAACCTCTTCACAAATGTGCTGTTGGTTATAAGGGGGATCATGGAACATTCCATTTTTTGAAAAGCAACTCAAAGCCTGTGCCTCACACTCACGGACTCAGCACTGTCTTCTCCACACATGAGGAACAGCACAGTCCTTCTTAATGTTCTGAGTGACAAAGGGAGCACAAAATTCCATCACTGGAGCAGGCAGCATGTGCCATCACCCTCTAGAGTGACTTTCCTCTACTTTGAGCTCAACTTTCACTCAGCTTTAACTTAGTTGTTTTAAACTTTCCCAATATAATACAGCAATTAGAAGAAACTTAAAGGAGTGGCAGAAAACCAGAGTGCTAGCACTGTTTTACCTGTTGGTGTCACCGGTAAGCCTCAAACCCTACTGAACTGTTATGTAGGGTTTAAAGCCCAAGATGTAAAGAAGAAGGAAAAAAAAAAAAAAAAAAAAACACAAACGGATGAAATGGAAATTGTCATTAGTCATGCCCATGGAAGAATCCCTAGGGTTCCCACCAGGTGACCAAGTTTCAAATGGACATGACATGTAATATGTACATCTCCTTCCCAGAGAGGGCATGTTAGTGAACATGGGGAGCTATACACATAGAATCTATGCTTGTGTCCAGGCTGCCCTGCACACTTCAAAAATGTACAACTCAGTTGCAAATGTTCCATCAGGTTGTCTGGTGCAGAAAGCACAAAGCAGGCCACAGAGCAGGCTTTTATGTGGCTAGGGAACAGCCCCAGCAAAGCCCCTCTCAAGCTGCAGCTCTTCATAAGTCAGCACAGCCCTGCCTATGGGACACAGTGCACAGTTACCAAAAGGTTTTTTTTTTTTTTTGCTTTAAATACCAAAACTACAAAAATCAGTTTATAAACTGTTTTTCCAAAACAAAACAACAACCCCCCCGCCCCCTGAATCAAAGCAAAACTAAATACTGTCAAAACTGTTAATCTCCCTTCCCCTAAAATGAAAGCCATCCACATTCAACCATGTGACTGGGAAGAGAGAGGGGGCCTGATCTATTTGGTGACCACATGGCTGGAAGGTTCCCAAGGGTAGCAATGGTTTATGATTTGAGAACCATGGAGTGGGTAACAGCTGTCAGGACTGATTCTCCCCTTTTTCTAAACCAAGGGGAAGTATTTCAGATTGAGCTAGAAGAACTCTCCAAATTTCAACACATATTTTTAACCTTTAATTGGTCTGAGCCTCCCCAACTCAGTCTACCTACTTTTATATGAGCTTTTGATTTCTTTAATAAATTGTGCAAACCAGAGCCCTTCTATGTAAAGGCATTTAGTAGTCCATGATCAATGCAGATTGTCACACACTCGGTCCCATTTTGAGGGTACTAACCTGAACAAGGTATTGCTTTGCATATATTGTCCATGGTAGTGAGGAGGCTCCATTCCCACATCCTCTTCCCAGAAACCTCATCAGAATCAGAGTCGAGGCACCAACCTTTTGGTGGTTTTTCTGCCCCTGCCTGTTCCCACTCCCCAGCCAAGGTATATGCCTTTCAGGGTAAAAATCCAGAGATGGCTTGGGCTCTCCGGAAAGTATTCAAATGGCAAGCTTTAGAACAGCCAAGAACACAAACAAAACCACTGCCCTCATCTGCCTGAACGGGAACTGCTAGCTCTAGGGTTTGGCTGCTCAGCCACTCAGAAACTTGGTAAGCGAAGCCTTCAGCATAGGGGAGGCTGCTGCAGCGATCCATGTCCAGGAGGTAAGCAGGGTTGTCTTCAAAGTGGGTCAGTGGCAGGGTGTCCTCCTCGTTGAGGGGGCATTCAGACTCTGCCTTCAGGAATGGACGCTGATTGTCTGGGAAGGCCATGGACAAAAGGGCATCCGGGTCACAGACAAATTTGTTGACATATCTTTCCCCAGCGACCTTCTGCATGATGCCCTTTTCATAGTAGTAGCGTAGAGAATGGCTCAGCTTGTCATAGTTCATGGCAGGCCGGTTCTTCTGGATGCCCCAACGCCGAGCAACCTCCTCTGGTTCTATCAGCTTAAACTCCATGCCTCGGCCTGTCCAGGCAATGAAGTGAGCATTGGCTGAGTCATCAAGAAGAGTGACCAGGAACTGCCACAGTTGAAGGGAGCCTCGCCTCTGATAAGGAGGGCCCTCCTGATACATGGTGGGCTCTTGCTTGACTTTGCCTTCCAGTCTCTCAGGCACAACGCAAGTGTCATCAAAATATAACCGGGGATCTTTTTCATATGAAAAACTTTCATGGCTGCTGGAGAAATATCCCCCTCTCATGTAGGATGACTGGCAGTTAGGCACTTCTGAATCAACGCAGTAATCCCGGGACTCCTGCTTGATTCCCATTGGTGACTGGAACCCATGTGCTGGGGGACCTGGCATTCCAGAGACCCCATGTTCATAGAGTGGGTCATGGTATTCTTGTTTGAATCCCTGAGGGGGTGGGGGAGCTGCAGGGACAATAGGTTCTGACATTTGTCGGTGGTAACTGGGGCGATTATCTCCAGGAACTCCCGACTGCGGAGGGAAGGGATGGCAGGGTTCAGACAGTTGTCTCTGAAATCTCCCATTGCAGGTGAGGAAAAGACCCTAATGAGGTTTCTGTCCATGACCGGCTGGCACCATTGTTCTGGGGCTGAGCAAAGGCAGAATTTCATGGCCAAAGCCCATGACAGAGGAAAGCTATTCTGTCCCATGGCAGCAGGACTGCAGAGAGACAGAGCAAGCTCTTGGGGACAAAATATAACCCATAAGGGCGTGCTCCCATGGACCACCTTCCTGCTGACTCACATCACCTGCTAGCAGTTACCACCCAGTACCTAGTCCTCTCAAATAACCCTCTCAAAGCTATCAGGGTCTTTTAGGTCAACTGTGAGGTCACAGCACTCATAATCTAATCACTTCACTGTGAGCATTCCTGCATTGTCTCCCATGAGCTTTGGGGGACAACTCACACCAAAGCATAACACATTTTAATTGCCAAAGAGCAAATAATTTTTGCTTAGTATATAAGTAGGTTGATCATCACCAAAAGATAGATGCTGTAATTCTGTCATCCTGTGGCCTTGTGAAACCACTTTCCAGGACTCCTATGGAAGTTCCATCAGATCCATCCAGCACACCAACACTCGATTATGTCCCATCTCAAGTTCCACTTCCAAAGCAGTAGCATCAGGTACCACCACTTACAATGCAGCATTTTTTTTCTATACCCACTGGAGTCTTTGAAGCACAGCTGCATTTTCAGATGATGCTTTGTTCAAAGCCCCACACTGCTTTTGTCTTAGAGATGGTGCTACATCTTCATATTTCACTCCACCTTCAATTAATGCTAGAGCAACCAGCACTGGAGCGCTCTCAAGGCCCACAATGCCACAGACAGCAATCAAACAGCCAGATCTGGTTGGAGAGTGGTACAACATCAGTAAAAGCCAATCAAGCACATGCATGCCTTCTTTCTCCACAAGAAGAGTGTCTAGAGTTGCTTCACATACTCTTACTCTTGGTATAACTCAAAACCTCTTAAATTCTTCTGCCAATTGACCTACATTTGCATTGGCTAGATCCTGTGTAGGAAGGAATCTTACTTCATACACATGACATTCATTGGAGAAAAGATAGCCTCTTTAGGGGCTGAGGCAGTGGCTCAATGGTAGAGCGCTCACTTAGCACATGCGAGGGCCTGGGTTCGATCCTCAGCATCACATAAAAATAAATAAAACAAAGGCATTGTGTCCAACTACAACTAAAAAATATTTTTTTTTAAAAGATAGCCTCTTCAAGAAATGGGCCTGGGAAAACTGGAAATCCATATGTAGAAAAATGAAATTAAACCTTTATCTTTCACCCTGCTTCAAACTCAACTCAAGTGCACCAAAGACTGAGGCACTAGAACACAGACCCTGGATCTAACAGAAGAAAAAGTAGTCCCATGTTGGCTGAGGAACTGACTCCATTAACAAGACTCTGATGCAAAAGAAGTAAAATCAAGAATCAATAAATGGGATGGATTCAAACTAAACCTTTTCCTCAATAAAGGAAACAATCAGTAACACGAAGAGAGAGCCTAAATAATGGGAGAAAATCTTTACCACATGCACCTCAGATAGAGCATTAATCTCCAGAATATATAAAAAAACTCAATACCAAAAAAAGAAAACCAACCCAAATAACACAGTCAATAAATGGCTAAGGAACAGAACCCAGCAGTCCTGTTCTGTTTGGATTAGAAAGAGGAGAGCCAAGGGAAGGGAGGGGGCATGGGTGAAATAAGGGTAATAGAATGAATCAGACATTTTTACCCTATGTGCTTATATAATTACATGACCAGCGTGATTCTACATCATGTACAACCAACACTTCATGGAAGAAGAATACAATCAATCAACAACTATATGAAAAAATGTTTTAACATCTCTAGCAATTAGAAAAATGTATACCAAAATTAAAATTTCATCTTCCTTTAGTCAGAATGGCAATTATCAAGAATATTAGAAACAGTAAATGTTTGTGAGGATGTGGGAACAAGGCACACTCAGACATTGCTGGTGACACTGCAGATTGGTGAAACCATTATGGAAAGCAGTATGGAGATTCCTCAGAAAACTTGGAATGGAACCAACATTTGACCCAGCTATCCCACTGCTTAATATATACCCAAAGGATTTAAAATCAGCATACTACAGTGATGCAGCTACATCAATGTTTATAGCAGCTCAATTCACAAAAGCTAAACTATGGAACCAACCTTAGTGCCCTTCAATAGATTAATGGATAAAGAAAATGTGATATATTTACACAAAGGCATATAACTCAGCCACAGAAAAGAATGAAATTATGGCTTACTCTGAGAAATGGATGGAGCTGGAGAACATCACTCTAAACAAAATAAGCAAATCCTAAAGAATCAAAGGCCAAAGGTTTCTCTGATATGCAGATGCTAATCCATAATAGGGGGGTACCTTGGATTAGACAGAGGGGAGTGAAGGGAGGGGAGAGGTTACGGGTATAGGAAGGATAATAGAATGAATCAAACATTATTACTTTATGTGCATATATGATTATAAGAGCAGTGTGATTCTACATCATGCACAACTTCTGAGGAATGAGAAGTTATATTCCATTTATGTAAGAACATTATTTTATATATGACTTTATAAAATCCTCCTTTTAATTTTAAGATGTCATCCATCTGTTTTCAAAAATGTTAATGGGAAAAGTGGACGTGTATACTTTAGAATCAGAGAATATATGTGGTTTTTACACTTTTTATTTCTACTATTTTCTTTAGTATGGAGACATAAAACTTTACAATTCAGCGAGCAAATGACTTTTAAAAAGTATTCTGAAATTAATGTTTTTTGATATGATTGGGTAATCAATTAGTAGGCAGCAGATAATCCTAGATAAGTTTTATAGATTCTGCAAGAAGGAAGGGGATGAAGGAAAATCTTGATATCAAAGACACTGTGAGGAGCTGGCTTTAAAACGTGTCATGGTATGAGACATGCTCAATGATATAGCAATTGGAGATTTCTAGAGTAGCCACTTTGAAAATATTTGTGTGGCCAGCTTTTTCATCCCCCCCCCACTTTAAAAAACTATTCATTTATAATCCTTTCTTGCATGACAACCTCTTTTTTATATTACCATGAAAAATATTCATGGATATTTACATGTGATAAAGACCTTACTTTGGTCATTTATTTTTCTGAACCTTAATTGATTAATCCATGAGATAAATTCAATAAATTGCTTCACAGGAAACAAATGAACTCTGGGATATTTATGCTGACCTCTATCTAGTTTTTATAGGAAATGTGATTATGATAGTAGAATTAGTTGGCAAAGGTTATATTTCAACAACTTGGACCACATATAAACACTCTTTTATCCATTGAAACACATTGTTTTTTCCTGCCTCCTTTGTATGATCAGTCCATATTATCAGGTATTATTAGGCACTCATTTAGATTCTGAGCAGTCTGATCTGAGAAATTAAGGCTTACAACTCAGGAGGCAGAGGCATGAGGATCACAGGTTTGAGGCCCACCTCAGCAACTTAGCATAGGAAAAAATCTCTTCTAGGAGGCTGCAAACTTCCTTCTTAGTTTAAGCTGGGCTTGCAAGGGCATCATGTGGGGGACTCCAAGGCTTCAAGATAAGACAATGATGTCTCTGGGCACAGAGATCATCATTTGGGAATAAAAGCAGATTCTGTGGTTGGTGGGTCTGTGGCTTCCACTTTGTAAAAAAACAGAGTGTTTGAGGTGGAAGGAAGTAGTGTGGTCTGCTTGCTCCATTTATGGGGGGTGAAATGGATTTCAGAGACGCCAAATAATTTGCCCAAAGTCACACAGCTCAGCACAGCTCTTCTCTCCTTTCTGTTGCACCATGCACTGCTGGGCAGCTTCACTGTCCATTGTGAGAAAGTTGTTGACCCAGTCCTCTCACATCCTTAGGTGTCAAACCCCATTTATCTTTGTCACTTCAGCACATGTACAGACAAGGGGAATTAGAGTTCATTGAAGCGGAAAAAGGCCTAAGATGTTCACTCCTGCAGTAAGTAGTCTGAACAGGGCACATGAATAAGCATCTTAATCTGATCTTGCATATAGCTCTATGCAATACACATTGCCTATCCTGAACTCAGTTTCTTCACCTGTCGTATGAGGACATTTACCACGATAATCCTTAAGCCTGATAAATGATTATGTATAGGAATTACTGACAGGTGTTTACAGAGCTTTGTCATCTGCATTGCACACATCTTGCCCTTTTTTTTCCAAAGCCTGTTTTAACCTTACTTTGACCTACTTATTTTGTTATTTAGTATGATTTTATATTTGCCAGGAAAATAAATCCACTGTATCATTTGTCCAAAACCTAAATGACAAGATGAATTTCTAACTGGGGTCCACATAGGCATTTGCACTCAGCTGTGTCTTGTGTTCCCCGCTATCCATCAGGCTCCCGGTAAAAGCTTTGCCATTCTTCCCCTTCTCAAGCACAAAAATCTGCTGCATTCCCACAGAGCAATCAGAGTCTCCTTGTGCTTAAGAACAACCAGCTATAGCTGAACTGTGAACATCTGCATATATGACATGACCCTGCTGTGATTGGATCTGCATTCATGTGGGGGCACAGGAGTCTCTTTCCCTATCTGGGTGAAATTCAGGCTCCTTTTCTATTCATGCTTCTATGTTTTAAGATAGGATTCAGGAAATCTTGCAGTATTTGGAAAATGCTTCTCTTTCACAAGGGATTGATTCCCTCCATAACCTGGAACTAAAAGATGAGCTACTTCCATTAAATTCATTACATGGGATAGAAATCTTCTTTATAACCACAATGATCACCATGGCTATGAAGGCTAAGGAAGGGGACTTAGGATTCCTGAAGTCTCATTTGTCATCAAGTCTATTTGATTGCCTTCTAGTCCAGGTCACCTCTTTTCTAAAGGAATAAAAGAGTCTTGCTCTATTCAGAGGTAAAGGGGGAAATGAGACTCTGCTCTGAAGATCAATCCCTGAAGCCAGGACTCATTCCTCTTTTCTGTCCATCACAGGACAGTGCACCTAGTCAATCCAAGGTCAGTCATTGACCTTGCTCTTGTTACCCAGACTCTCAGCAGCTTTGAACTTTTCTCATCTGTTTTCACCTTATAGGCCCAAGCAAACATTCTGGGTTGACTCAAGAAACACATGTGGTCCAGCGTCCTTAGAAACCACATCTCTGACTGTGGTTTCTTTGGAGGCCCTTTCTTAATTCAAACTACCCTTGACATCCCACTTTTCTACAAATAGCCTTTCCATGGGTTATCACCTCTTTTAGGCTCAAACTTCAATAGTCAGCTCCCTCCTTACAGCAGAGAAGTTGGTTGTTGGGTAGAAGGTTATAGTTCCAATAATCTAGATCCCAAGTATTTTCATGTCCCTCAGTATTTGTGGGGAATTTGTTCTAGGACTTCCCTAAGGATACCAAAATCTGAGGATGCACCAGCCCCTTGTATGTGATGGTGGGATATTTTCATAGAACCTATGCACATCCTCCTATAAAATGTAAATCATCTCTGGATCACTCAGAATACATGATACAGTGTAAATGCCATGTAAATACTTGTTATACTATATTGTTTTGGGACATGTGAAATACAGATGCAGTTTTATTTTTAAGAGTTTCAATCCATGATTGACTCTGTGGATGTCGAACCCACAGATAGAGGGCCGACCCCAGTTCTCTCCATATCAGTATACTTGAAGTCCCTTCCATAGGCTCTCTGCCTGCCTCCAGCAGAGCCACAGACAATGGAGCCCTCAGGTATACTCAGTGCTTCTTGAAATCCTATGCTTGCTTAGGTTATGATGCTATGTGTAGAAAGTTGTGCCTACAGCTTCACA